GTTGATTTCATCACACGCACTTTGGATGTGCTGTGAGAATAATAGGCCTGTCCCTGCAGGAGGAGATCCTGTTTGGTGCAGTAGAGAAAGCTTCAAAACAGAGGAAGGCCTTCAAGGTAATGGTTGCAACAATGGGCTCAAGCAGAGGAACAGATGTGAGACTGGCATCCAACCGGGCAATGTGGGGTTCTGTGGTGCATAAGGTTACTATCAGGAGGAACCAACTGGATGGCACACAACAATAATAATAATAATATCTTTAAAAAAATAATAATATCTTTGAGTTTGGTGCATAGACCACAAGAGCATTTATCAACTTCTCTCCTGGCCTACCAATCTAAGGAGACAGAAATTTGAAGAGCTTTCTCGCTAATAGTGTCGAGAGCCGATGTGTGTGCATGCGTGTGTGTGTGTGTGTGTGTGTAATTCTACATCCATATTATCCACACAGCTAGGGATTCTTTATCTCAATCCATACTCAATGAGGAATTCAAAGAACAGATCTAAGCAGATCTTGAACTGCGGTGTGACCCTATCAATTGTCCTGAAGAGGAACATGAATACCCATGCATTTTGTTTTCTGAGCACCACAGGAGAGGAACTTATTTCCCTAGGTGGAGTGGTTAATCCTATTAACTGTTGTTGAGCCATCAACATGCCTATGAGTCAAAAAGACCTTTGGATTTGGAAAGGTTAAAACCATTAGTGATGCTGAAAGAAGCTGTCTTCCTATACTGTCAAAGATGCATGTCTGAGTATGACTGTTTAAAGTGCGTTGTCAAGACAGACACTTAACGTTTCTATTCTACCTCTATGGCTGACTCCTCACATACCACTTCCTAGGCTTCTCCATTTAAACCAATTCTAAAATTTGGGATTTCTCAAACCTGAGGTATGCTGTTGAAGCACCTGTCTACATTCTTTCATGTTTAATCTTATTTTGCCTTCTGACTACAAATGCCATAGACAAAGATTCTAAACTTTATTTTTGCATCACTGAGTTAAGCCCAGATATTAAGATCAAACTTTCGACCCGACATATATGCTAGATATATAGTATGATCTCAACAAGCAAACACAAAACCCCAATTCTTTCCCATCCCAGCTCTCCCAGTTGCCCAAGTTTAAAAACTAAACGTATCTTTAACTTCTCTTATTTCCTCATCTCTCTCACAGTATCCACATTCTCAGTTAATTTTAGGATTTTAAAATCACAAATATACCTCAAATCTATTCACATTCACCATTTCAAAAACCAGTAACCGGTGCACTTTCATCAGTCAGTGCTGCACCCGCGGGCCTCTGAGCCCTGCTTTCTGCTTCATCTGTTTCATCACCAGCCTGAAGCTAAGTGACGTTGAAGAGGGGTCTAGTTTGTGTCGGACCCAGTGACGTGAGCTGCACTGGACTGGGCTGCCTTGTTGATGGAATGTTCTATCTTATACATATTTGAGCGTTACTGGTTTTATTTCTCTAGGCAATCTAGCCGAACACACATGGAAATCATCTGAATCAGCAAAAGTAGGGATAAATACATGTTGGTACATATGCATAATGGAATATGACATGCGTACATTAAAGAACAATGACAGCACTGTGAATCACCTCATGACACGCATGTATTTGGAGGATGTTATGTTGAGTGAAGTAAGTAAATCACAAATGAGCTAAATTAATCTGTGTGAAACCACGGTTATGAAAGAAAGAATCAAGCATTAAACTGTGGATACCCTCTCTGGACACTGCTAAAGGCAGCTCACTGGGGATTACCTTTATTGTGCACAATTGCTCATTATGTTGCTTGGTTGTTTCCTGACCTCAGTATCATAGTTACTCGGTACCCACAACAAAGAAGACATTAAAAGATATCTAACATTCCTGGAAGTGGCTCTCAATGAATGATCTTCAAGAAAAGGCGAATAACATACATAAGATCTTCATTCTTTTTTTGGACTAGTTCCAAGCATATTCTTCTCTGTCTTCCAGTTTCTTCATCAGACTGTTCTCATTGCTGATTGGAAAGTTGTGCCATATAATACCCATTTGGTCTCATTTTCTTCTTTCTTTATTCCTTACTCCACTGTCAGTTTTTATTGAATAGCGCTAAAACTGCGTATTCAGTACTTTGTCTCCATGCCTAGTCTTTGGAGAACTTAAACTAAGAAAAAGATATACTTTCTGCCCTTTACTGTTGAATTAGGTAGGGATACAACACCAGGAAAAAGAATCATGTTCCCTGACCTTGTGAAATGTCATAACATTTGGCAACTGGAAACAGGCATAGAAATTACTGAGTGCCCTTTCAATACAGTCTTAGGCTTGACTAACCATCAACAAGGTTATTTTACAACTCTGCTGGACTGTGTCTAACTTGCAGTCCAATAGAGATTCAAATGATTTTTGTTCAGTGGACTAAGTAGTGTCAAAGGTTACATTTTATTTTTCTGTAATAATTAATTCTGTTATCCAAACCTGTTATCCTATCATAAAACGTCCTTATTTTACTAGGAGCTTTATTAATTCACTCTCATAAAGTTGTATGTTTTTATGTGTTTTGGTATATGAAACCCAGAATTGATGAACTTACAGAGACAGCAAGTAGAATAAGAATTTCAAGGGTGGGGTGGGGAGGAGGTTACACTGAAGAAGGGGGGCAGGTAAAAAGGAGACAATGTCAAGGAGGCCAGGGAGAAAATTTATGTTTAGTAACTGATTTTGGTAGCAACTGCACAATTCTGCTTGATGTGATTGAACTATGGAAGGAAATGGTATATGTATTACTCTGAATTAATATTTTTTAAATAATAAAATCCTTCCCAGTTTAGAATCTGAAAAGAGAAATATTTTGATATGTGATCCTCCAATATTTATTTGAGAGCCATGATTTTTAACCTTTTAAAATTATATTTGAGCAGAAAGGCAATGGGGAAGATAAAAACACACGAATGTGCACACACCCAGTCAAGCCTTACTTCTCGCAGTCCTTAGTTTCACTAAAGTTCTGCCAACACTGAGTTAGTGAATGCTACCATGCTGGACCAGAGGAAACACAAACTGCGGTGCCTGCAAGCCTCTGGTCACAATACTGTATTAATTAATCAAAGGTCTCTCATCTATTTGTATATTTGATTCAATAATGGGCTTATGGACAACTCATGACAAAATTAAGGTTTTCTAACACATACATTGTTTTCATAAGGCAGATACAGACTTAAATTTCTGGTGAATGCATAGATGGATACTCGGTATCATGTAGCACAAATGTTTGAAGATGATTTTAAAAACAACAAAAGTGCTAGCAAAGTATAGAAAATCAGAAAAGCATACTGGTAAACAGACTGAGGAAAAAATTGTTTACAATATCACAACTGAAACAAGAAGACAGGGTGCCACCTAGTTTTACCTCATTTGAGACTATTGTGCTGGACAATTGAAATTGCTACAGTGTGATTTTTGAGGGAGGCAAATTAAAAATAAAAGAAAATTTCAATCCAAACATACAAAATTTTAGGAATCTAGTCCCCAGGTTATGAACATTTGGGAAATTTCGACTTGACTTCTAATGATCTTAAATTTGACACCAATTTGAAATAATCAAAACAAATTCCACTGGCAACAAATGATTTAAACAACCAGTGAAGTGTTATATCATTGAAAAGTCACCCAGCTTTTCTTGTAGTAAACACAGCTACCATCAAGTGGATTCTAACTCATAACAACTCTGTATAGGGTTGCGGAGACTATAAATATTTACCAAAGTAGATAGCCTCATCTCTCTCCCCTCTTGGTTTAAAGTAAGGCTAAATAAGAAGTGTATCTCTGGTTTAACTCCACTGCAGTTTGTTAAAGACCCAGTTAGTGGTAATTATTCTCATTTGTAGCCCGGGAACGAATTTTGATGAGAAAGAAAATAGCTCTTTTTAAATAAGTACTAACATGTGAGGCACATCACCATCAATGTACTAAAGGGAGCAAAAAGACAGAAAGGAATTTTAGTCAATAGTTTTATACAGATAAACAAATCTTCACACCTGGGCCAATTAGCAACATTATCATAACCACAGTCCATTTTGAAGTTGTCCAGATAACGCTTTTACTTGCACCCACACTGCTGGAAGCAGCAGTCAAGAAATAAGGCAGCAGTTTGCACTGGGCAAATATGCTGCAGAAATCTCTTTAAAGTTTTAAAGAGCAAAGATATTTTGAAGACTAAAGTGTGCCTGGACTAAAGCATGGTATTTTTAATGAAGATTAAGTGTGTGGAAGCTAGACACTGAATAAAAAGAGACCAAAAAGAATCGACACCTTTGGATTATGGTGTGAAGTATTGAGTTATACCACTGACTGCCGCCATAAGGAGTAAGGTGCACCCAGCCCAAGCCATGGTATTTTTATTCATCTTATGTGCATACTGGAATTGGATAAAATACCAAGTGGATAAACAGAAAAACCAAAGGGCAATCGATGTCTTTGAATTATGGCACTGGTGAACAAAATTGAATATGCCAAGAACTACAAGAAGAAAAGTAAATCTCTTAATAGTACAGCCAGAATGCTCTTTAGAAGCAAGGGTGATGAGAATTTGGCTCACACTTTCACATGTGATCAGGAAAACATAGCCCCTGGAGAAGGATATTGTGCTTGATACAGGAGACAGTAAGTGAAAGAGGAAGATCTTGTCCAGTGTGGATACAATGGAGGCACAGAGGGCTCAAACATAGGAATGATTGTGAGCATGGCAGATAGCCAGGCACCATATTGTTCTGTTAGACATAGGATCGCTTTGAGTTGTAACTGACTCAATGATAACTAGTTACAAGCATTATTATATTATTTTGTGTTTTGTTGTATAAGCCACTGCCTGATCATTGTTATGAAGAAGCATAATATATTTTCTTTGTAGTGGGTGCTATTTTATTCAAAGTGGTAAAGAAGGTATCTTTGAGTGGAGACTTGGAGGAAGAAAGATAATGCATCACACAGTTAATCTGGAGTTCAAGAGTTGCAGGCAGAGCGAACAGGAAATGTGGAAACTCTGACCCCAAAGTGTGATTGACAAATACAATTAACGGGTTGGAAATGATTGAGGAAGAACTTGAGTGGTTAGTAGGGAAGAGTGGTAAGAGATAAAGAGATAGAAGTGATGTAAGTCAGATGGCTTCCAGGTCTCACAAGTTGTTCTGTACTCTTTAAATGAGTTAAAATAAGCCCCTGGAATATTTTTAGAAATAGTATGATTGAGAAGGATACTATTTTAAGGTAAGAGTACAGTGAAATGAAGGAGTTATAGTAGTTACTCATTGGACTGCTACCCTTTAGGTGAGGAGTTCAAAACCCCAGAAGTTCCATAGTATAAAGATGAGACTTTCTACTCCCATAAAGAGTTATAGTCTCAGAAACTCACAGGGACAGTTCTACTCTGTGTTATTGTGTCACTATGAGTTTGAATAGACTCAATTGCAGTGTTTGGAGTTTGTTTTGCTGTTTGTTTGTTTTGGCGTTAGCAAAAGGATGACAGATGCAGAAGTCAAGTTAGAATTCCATTTCGACATCTATTATTGAAATGAGTGATATCAGTGACATGACAACTGATAGCAAGAGGTAGGTAGGTAGGTAGGTCCTGCATTGGTCCTGCAAGTACCCCCTCAATGCAAGAAGCCTTTGTTCTATTAAACTGGCATTCCATGATGCTCACCTTAGGGACACAATCGCTGAAGACAAAGTAGATGCATAAGCAAATGTGGTGAAGAAAAGCTGGTGGTGCCCGGCTATCAAAAGATATAGCATCTGGGGTCTTAAAGGCTTGAAGGTAAACAAGCAGCCATCTAGCTGAGAAGCAATAAAGTCCACATGGAAGAAGCACACCAGCCTGTGTGATCATGAGGTGCCAAAGGGATCATTCATTTATCAGGCATCATTTGCTGTGAGTTACAGAAATTTGGGTAGAAGAGCCATACTAAAAATTTTTACTTCATCATGCTACCATTTCCAAAACTGGTGCTAAATATATCAACTTAAACTTTTGTAAGAGTAGCTTAAGTATACATAGCTCTAACCTAGTCAATTCTCATGTGAATTCAGAATTGGGAAATATTCTATTTCTCAAGGGAAATATTCAGAAGAAGCAAAAACACACATATTTTCTATCAATTCAACAAAAATGCTATATGTGAAGCCTAGTGTATGATTTCATCTACCAGGACTTTACAATCATGAAAACATGGGTGTGACATTTTAGCACAAATATTTGAAAATGGTGTTTTTCCCAAAGATTGATACTTGTTTATGTGTGATAACCCAAATAACTACATTTTTCAGTACATTTATTCTGAAATTTTTTTTCCTAATTCTAATGCAGAGTGCTGGTGGGCTGCTAACCACAAGGTAGCGCAGTTCAAAACCACCAACCCCTCCAAAGGAGAAGGATGAAGCTTTCTACACCAATAAAGATTTAAAACCCTAGAAACCCACAGGAGCAAGTCTACTCTGTCCTATAGGCTCACTGTAAGCTAGAATCAATTTGATGGCAATATGGTTTTTGGAATTAATCTCATGCATTTCCTGCTAGGAACTGACCTGTACATGTTGTTTTCAATTTATAATTTAATATTTAAAAATATAGATGTTTGCCCTTAATGGTCTTTGTA